CATCCACCTTTATTTATTTATTATTGCCAGAGGGCACATGTGCTCACCCAAGAGAGATAGAGAGAGAAAGCACTCCCCCAGTGGAACGTGGTCACACCACAATCTTTTCTCCTCCATTTCTCCATCCTGTCAGAATTTCGGGAATGTATGCATACGTGCACAAGGACAGACTTGTCTGGCATGTTGTTCGAGCTGCGAGAGCCAGGATTCAAACTACAGTTGGCCATGTGCGATTTGTCTCACTTAACCATTAGGCCACAGGACCAGCCCATCTTTCATATTTTGGTGCCACTTCAGTTTTTGGGGGTTTGTTTTATTTAAGTTTCTTCGTTTTTGTTTTTGTTTGTTTGCCAAAGGGCAGGTGCACTCACCAGAGAGAGAAAAATGGAGACAGGAAGAGGGAAAGAAATCATCACCCAGGGGAGATGGCCACATCACAATCCTTTTTTCTCCATTCTCCTCTTGTGGTTTTTGGGCATGCATGCTCACACACATCCAACGTGATATTCAAGCCTCAGAGTCCAGGATTCAAACCATGGTTGGCCATGTGGGAGTCCAGCGTGTTAGCCACCATACCAAATACTAACCCCTGTTTTTTTGTTTTTAATTTTTCCAAAGAACATGTGTGCTTGCTGAAAGGGAAAGTGAGAAAGCACTTACCACAGTCTCTTCTCCTCCATCTCTCCCTTCTTTCAGGATTTGGAGCAAGTACACATGCTTGTTTGGTGTGTTTCTTAGGCCTTCTTTCTCAAGCCACAAGGCCCAAAGTCTTGAATTGCACACTGCCATGCTATGAGCTGGTCCAGACACCAGAATTTTTGTTTTTGTTTTTGATTTTAATGTGTATTTAGTTAAACTTACTTATGTATTTTAGAGCCATTTACTTAAAATTGATCAATTGTGCCAGCAGGTGGCATGGTGGTTGAGTCACTAGACTCCTACATAGCTAACCATAGTTCAAGTCTTAGACCTGGTGGCTTGCTTTCTTACTTTCCTTCTCTCTCTCTCCCCCTCTTGTCAAATTTTTAAACCAATAATAATAAAGTTAAATAAATAACGTTTTTTAAAAATAAATAACTTTTAAAAACTTGATCAAACAGAAAGCAACTTTGTTGAACCTGCTTTATCTAAATGGATGACTCCAGAATATAATGTTCTCGTCGCTGGTATTTCTGTACTTTTCTTTCTCCTTTTGGCTCATCCACCAGATGCTCTGGGCTGCACTTGCTAGTCAGGCAGGTTTCCTGTAGTGGCCACCCCGGTTAAACCACATGTATTGTTTATGTGTTTGTGGGAAGTGCTTCCTGTGGCTGTTCTGAAACGTCCACCCGACTCTGCTCTGAGGAGAGCAAGATTTGTCAGTGAGCCATGTCACTTCCTTCATGACTGTCCCTCCAGTCTGCTTAAAGTGACCAGAAAGGTTTACGTCCTACTCTGCCAGTGATGCTCTGCTGAGTCAAAAAGTGAAGGAAACCTGTAGAACATGAAGTACACTTTTAAATACTAAGTTTAAGATTTAACCTTGACCCTTCGTAAGAGACTTTTAAAGGCCTATTTAATAAAATTCCGAGGAACGGTCATGTTGGCTTTGCTCCACCTCTCCCCCTCTTCCTCTGACCTCCTTAGCCAAGATGGTAAGATCCTGTTTATTTAACAGTCCTGACAGCAGTTGGTCTTCTTTTTTAAAACATCGCTGACTGTCACCTACTTGGACAATATGCTTTTTTGTTTTCTTTGAGGTTTTTTAGATTTTTGCCATAGAGCATGTGCACTGACTAGAGAGAAACAGAGAGGGAAAATGAGAAAAAAAGTGAGAAATCATCTCCTGGGGAAGATGGCCATGTCACGATCCTTTTTCCTCCATTCTCCCCCCAGGATTCTGGGCACGCGCGCCTGGTGTGTTTTTCAAGCCTCTAGTTCTGGCACTCAAACCCCAGAATCGGCCATGTGGCATCCAGTGTCTTAATCACCATGCCACCTGCTGGCCCCTACAGATGTATTTTGAGGATATGAAATATATATTACAAAGCAGTTTTAGTTTTTTTGAGTTTTTTTTTTTTGGAGAGGTTTTCGCTATAGGGCATATGCACTCGCCAGACAGAGACATAGAGACAGAAAGCAAGAAATCACCCCCCAGGGGGGATGGTCACACCGCAATCCCTTCTCCTCCATTCTCTTCTCGGGATCTTGGGCATGCACGCACACGCACCCGGCGTGAGATTTAAGCCACCGGGTCCGGGATGCAAACCGCGGTCGACTACGTGGGAGTCCAGCGACATAGCCATTACGCTAACTGCTGGTTCTCTGTTTTTTTTGAGGTTTTTGCTATAGGGTAAGTGCGCTTGCCAGAGACTAGAGAGAAACAGAGAGGGAGAAAAAAAAAAAAAGTGAGAAATCATCTCCTGGGGAAGATGGCCATGTCACGATCCTTTTTCCTCCATTCTCCCCCCAGGATTCTGGGCACGCGCGCCTGGTGTGTTTTTCAAGCCTCTAGTTCTGGCACTCAAACCCCAGAATCGGCCATGTGGCATCCAGTGTCTTAATCACCATGCCACCTGCTGGCCCCTACAGATGTATTTTGAGGATATGAAATATATATTACAAAGCAGTTTTAGTTTTTTTGAGTTTTTTTTTTTTGGAGAGGTTTTCGCTATAGGGCATATGCACTCGCCAGACAGAGACATAGAGACAGAAAGCAAGAAATCACCCCCCAGGGGGGATGGTCACACCGCAATCCCTTCTCCTCCATTCTCTTCTCGGGATCTTGGGCATGCACGCACACGCACCCGGCGTGAGATTTAAGCCACCGGGTCCGGGATGCAAACCGCGGTCGACTACGTGGGAGTCCAGCGACATAGCCATTACGCTAACTGCTGGTTCTCTGTTTTTTTTGAGGTTTTTGCTATAGGGTAAGTGCGCTTGCCAGAAAGACAGAGAGACAGAAAGCTAGAAATCGCCCCCAGGAAGATGGCCATGCTGCAATCCCCTCTCCTCCATTCTCCTCACGGGACCTTGGGCACACACGCACACGTGCCCGGCGTGAGTTTAAGCCACCGGGTCCAGGATTCAAACTGTGGTTGACTATGTGGGAGTCCAGCGACATAGCCATTACGCCAACTGCTGGTCCCACAAAGCAGTTTTAAAAGATATAGTACTTTCACAGGAAGAAATATGAATTATATTCAGGTTTGTTTGACACTCACAGGCACTTAATAAAAGGATATTAACTATTGTTTCTGTCTTATGAGTTCACTTTATGTTCATTCTTTTTTAAATAGCCAGCCTGAACATTTTTTCTTAATAATTGAAATTAGTGTTTCAGAAAAATGTACAAACTTTTCCTTATCCAAAGAAGAAAAATTGGGACCAGCAGATGGCATATTGGTTACATCACTGGATTCCCAGACCTGGTTTGGGTCCCAGACCCAGAGGCTTAAAATCACTCTGGCCACGTGTGTGTGTGTTTGCCCAAAATCATGAGAGGAGAATGGAGGAAAGGGGATGGTTGTATGGCCATCCTCCTGGTAGTGATTTCTCACTTTCCATCTCTCTGTCTCTCTGGCAAGTGCATGCACCCTATAGCAAAAGAAAGAAAAAAAAACCTTAAGAAAACAAAGAAGAATTGATGAAGAACTTAGCCTGTTCAACTAATACTTATGTTGCAAATATTAAATATTGATAATTCCGTTCACAATAAAAATCATCTTAGTGGTAAGAAGTCTCTTCAAATTTAAAATAAATGTAATCTTCTTTTCACAGAAGTGCTTTATTTTTCAACCTTTATTCAATATTATATTCTTCAGTAGAGTCCATAATAGCACTTTGTGGTTTTTTGGTTTTTGTTTGTTGTTTTTTGGGTTTTTTTTTTTTTTTTTTTTTTTTTTTTTTTTTTTTTTTTTAGGGGTTTTTGTTTTTGGGGGCCGTGTGTCCAGAAAGACAGAGAGACAGAGAGACAGAAAGCGAGAAATCACCCTCCAGGGGGAGATGGCCACCTCGCAATCCCTTCTCCTCCATTCTCCTCTCAGGATCTTGGGCATGCACGCACATGTGCCCAGAGTGAGTTTAAGCCCCACCGGGTCTGGGACTCGAACCATGGTCGACTACATGGGAGTCCAGCAACATAGCCATTACGCTAACTGCTGGTCCCATAACAGCACTTTCTGAATGATAGTTGTTCATAAGTATGGGTATGTAACAAATGAAGTCTGTGTTCACTTACTGAACAGATGATGAACTACAGGAGACAACAGAAACACACTCCTCAAATAAGCAACCAGTAAACCTCAAAAGGGTATTTTATTTCTTTCAAATTTCTGTACATTTTTCTTCCAATCCCATCTGTTGCACAGCTTAAATTGTACTACTTGTTGAAGTACTAAGAAAGAGACGATGTCGGAAAGTCAGAGTCACAAGAAAATAAATAATTTCCACCCACAGTACACCATAACCCCATTCAGAACATTCTGGTTTGAACGCAAGGTCCAGAAAAATACTTACATCCTGCTTCTATGGAAACCAAGAGAGACAAATCAAATATTTTGGTTGGATCGGCAGCTCAGACATGCATCGGATGGTTCTAATTTGCTCTTTTAATACATCTCAGATTTTCACATGAAGGCCAAATCCCGAAGTAAATTTTTATCTGAATTCTGGGAAACGGTGCTGTAAGTCTGTAAGATGCTCAGCCATAGAGCGCATTCACCAGAATATGGACACTTCTAAGGTTTTTCCCTCAAAATAGAACAAAAGGTCAGGAACTAAAAAGGTTTAAAATTGGTAAAGCAAGCAAACCAGTCCTGCAAGGAAAAAAAAAAAAAATGACTGATGTTTCTGCAAAGTCTTTATGTTACTTCTTAAATAAAGTAAAATACTGTTGTTGCTGGGTAGTTTGATCAGTGTCTGTTGGAGTCAAATAATTGTGATTAGATACACATTTCTGATTCTAAAATCACCTATAGTAACTAAGTCATCACATCTTCCCCCCCCTTAATAATTAACAGAAAAGAATGAAGAAGAAGAACAAGAAGCAAAAATGGAACTTAAACGCAGACTCAGCAGAAAGGTGATGATATGATGATGATTGTTAATGAGTGTGTGTGTGTGTTGAAATACACTTTGTTTTTTTTTTTTAATAGAAATCTACTCTCTCCATGTAAATCCAGTGTTTAGGGATCATTATTCCAGTGAGTTTACTGGATAGTCGTAGACATTAAGGTCACTATAATGTATACGGTATTAATTATAATTATGATTCTGAAAAATTAGCAATTGTTTTTAAAATGCATTTACTGATCATGAAAACATTTTGTGTGAAAAAAACTTCAAAACACAAGAAGTAATAAACAATTAAAAATTACATGAAAGTCTTCTAGTCAAAGATAGCTATTCATATTTTAATGTGTATGAAAGGATAATTTTTTTTAATTCTCATACTTTCCATTTAGTCTTGGAAGTATTAAATAAATGTTTTGTTACTACTGAAGATTTCCCCACATTCTGTATCAGAGCTATGTGAGTAATTAATTAAGCAAATTTGATCATCCAGCCTGCCTGCTACAGTGCTACCCAAGTTGACAAATGACTTCCCCCTAAAACTCAGACGATTGTTTCCACTTACTTAGGAAAATACAAATTCGATTCCAGGGCCATCACTTTTTTCCTGTGTTTAAATAACTCTTTGGAAAAATTAAGCACTATGTTTGTATTTCATTATAAATTCCTGTAATAATTCTCCAGCTATACCTTTGACACCTGGAAAAGGGTAAGGTGACTGAAATATGGCATCTCAGTGACGTGTGTGGCCTGACCCACATTTTTGTGGGCTGTCTGTAGAGGCTGCAGCAAAAAGAGTCTAAAGTGGAATGGAGAGAAATACTCCACTCCATGGAAACATAGAAATTGTATTTTGAAAGTTTTATTTTCAGATTTTAGAGAAGATCTTTAATTTTTTTCTCAAAGCTCATAAATGTCCAATAATGATCAAGCTAAAAGACTATAAATTCAATTTCTAGGAGTAGCTCTTCTAACATGTAGTAGTCCTGAAGTTACCAGCTACAACAAGCAATAGCCCCCCTTATTACTCTGGGCTCACTCCTGCTTTACATGTAGCCTCTTTACAATCCAGTCGGGCTCCTCCAAGAAGCAATAATGCCTGCCCTCACCCATGTCCCCTCTTGCCTTCACCCTACAGAGCTCCCTGCCACAGGTGCAGGCCAGCCCACAGCCCAGTTGCCACCCCATGACTAGCACAGTCCTCAAGAGCATAACTGGATGGGTAATTTCTGACCTCTGTGGCTAGTGGTCACTTGCCTTCTGGCCAGTCCCTGGGGGCAAGGGTTTCTTTACCTCTTTATCCCCACCTGCCCTAGAGAGGCAGCAAGGAGCTAGCAGTGTAGGTGGGATGGTAACTAAGAGTGTGACAGAACACTTAGATTATTCCCTCCTTTGCCCACAGCCCACTGGGGTTCTGTGAAGATAGAAAGAGCCACAGTTTCCATATCCCAGCTCACGTGAGAATGCACTTAGCATTGAGCCCTTGAATGCTTTGGATATTAGAACACTGACTTATGCCAGTCTCTCTGTTTTTACTTGGGAGGAAACTAAGCCCCAATAAAGGGGCCATTCTGAGTCTGTGTCTAGGATATCATCCTCAAGCCTGTGCAAATAAGAAATATCTCCAAAGAGGGCCACTTGGATGATGGGGAGTCAGACCATATACAGAGAATAAATAAGAGAGAAAAGATACTGAAAATGGGCCCTTTAGTTAAAATAGAGGCCCAGGTCTACCTGTCTGTACATACCAGAGTCTACCTCCCTATTGAGAGAGGCCAAAAAGGGGTAAGCCTAACATTAACAATAACAGAGAGAACAATGCTCATCAGCCAGGGGGCAGACAGAATCAGCTGGGTCTTATTCTTGGGCTTGAGAAAAGGCCAAGGGAGGAGAGCAAACACCCAAAGGGTGGCCAGGTTAAGTATAATTACAGACCTGAATTTGACAAAGACCAAGAGGAAGAGCCCCCGTGATACCGTGTCAAAGGTTGCGGCTGATTGTTCACAGCTCTGTCCCCAGTGGAGAGTAGCTCTCCCTCCTCATTCTGCACGTCAGCTCCTCTGGCCAAGGGTAACCATCGGGCTGGTCCTTCATCTCTCAAGGACAAATGTGCTGTAGATTCAGCCTTCACAGGACCACTTCCATGTTGTAACTTTGCACATTTCCAAATGTATAGGTTTACTATAATAGGACAGGGATTTTTTATTCTCACTTCCAAATTTCACACCTTTTTTCTTGATGATTCAGCCAGCAAAGCAGCCATCCTGAATCTGGGTTACTATTGTGTCCGTGGCTCTGCATGTTTCTTGTGTCAGGGATGATGGACAGGCCCATACCACAGTGCCAGCGAGGTGGGAAGAATAGTATAATGCAGACGGTTGCCAGAGACGGTGACCTGTCTAACAATGATGATTTTTATAGTCTCAAAAAATTAGGGCATGCTGCTTTCTAGTTCTCATTAGAAATTCCCAAGATACTGCTGCCTTTTTTTTTTTTTTTTTTGATACCTGAAAGTGACCTTATTTAACCATAACTTTGAAGTGTTCTCTATAGAAAACTTGCCACCATGAGGCTATAAATGGTTTCCTGAACTCTGCCTTTCTTCCCTGTCCTCCTGCAGCTCAGCCTGAGACCCACAGTGGCAGAGCTACAAGCTAGAAGGATCCTGCGGTTCAATGAGTATGTCGAAGTCACCGATTCTCCTGATTACGACCGCCGAGCAGACAAGCCCTGGGCCAGGTTAACACCTGCGGACAAGGCAAGAATCATAGTATTGATTGCATTGCTGTCTAAAAGCTCCAGTACCACTCTGTCCCCACTTGGTCATCCTGGGAGTCTAGATCTTACCAGATTTTCTAGGTTTTCTGCCTCTGATTGCTTAACCCACTTCAGTGATGTATTTGGTAATGTCATTGTAGCTCTTTCCACTAAATCTCAGAGAAAACTGATCTTAATTACCGTGTAACCTGCCTGCATTCATGCCTGCATGAGGAGGGTTTTCCCACAGCCAGAATTTATCCTTATTCTTAGAAAATGTAACTTAGACCATTTATCATTTTAAAGGGATATCTTAGCAGTGGGAAAGATATTGATCTCTATCAAATCGCTTTTTCTTTAAGTGACCAGAGAGTAAATACTTCAGGCTTTGCAGGCTATACGATCTGCGTTGCATAGTTCAGCTGTTGTAGCATGAAGCAGCCCTAGACAGTATGGAATGGAGTGGATGTGTGTATATTCCAGCAAAACTTTATTTACAAGCCTGCAGGCCATGGCATGCAACTCTGATATGTATCATTGCTCGCAGTTAGAAAAAATAAAATATATAGAGGATTCCATCAATGTAGGAAGACAGTTGTCTACAGGTATTATGTTTCCATAGCCAAAAATTTATGCCAAGCACTAAAAGCAATTTTTTTTTCCACTTTAGGGTTTTTCTAACATCAGTAATGAGTTCTAATGTTTATCTCTCAGCAAAATCTGGTATTGAAAAAACTCATGCCATACTCAGTCTTAATGCTAGAATTAGGTATTTAATGATGCTCTGTACTGATGATTTTTAATAGGAAGTTTCATTCTATAAAGGAATTAAATCGGAAAAGAAAGAAGCAAATCATTTAAGGGACACAAAAGTAGAAAATTATCTGTTGTTGATAACATGTATGGTAGTATCTTTAACTTGACTAATATGCAGTGTATTCATGCTAGGAAAATTCATTTTGCATGCTATAATGATATACAGTGATATATAGTGTAAGCATCCCTAATCCAAAAATTCAAATCTTAAATGCATCAAAATCTGAAATTTTTGAGAACCCACAGGACACCTCAAATGGAAAGTCCCACAGCTAATCTCATGTGATGAGCTGCAATCAAAGTTCTATAATACAAAAATGCTTTATAAAATTACCTTTAGACTATATGTATATGATATATATGAACCATAAATAAGTTGTGCATTTGGACCTGCATCCCCACCTCCCAGAAATCTCATGACTATATATAAAAGTATTTCAAAATTTGAAATCTTAAACACTACTCGTCCCAAGATTTTTAGATTAGGAATACTTACCCTATATGTGTCTAGTGCATATTAGATATATTGATTCAGAAATCACTGTAAGTAGAAAAATAGAAAGGAATAAGACAAAGGAAAAATACTCAGAATAATCCTGGAAGGGAAGGAAGCTGAGAATAGCAGTACCCGAGACCCAACATTTAGGAAGAAGCAACAGGAAATTTTTGAAAAGAAGCATCTGGAAGGTGGGGAAAGAGGAGAAGATTGGGAGGACAGCAGCCTAAGAAGGAGAGTGCCAGGGAGGACGGCACATGTGTACAATGACAGGCTGGGGGGTATTCGAGCGGACTGATGTGTGGAGGCCTAACTCTGGTGGAGGCCGTAAAGATCAGATAGAATCCCAAGAATCATGGCTCTGAGGGGAAGAGATACGGGGAGGTGCAGTCATTGAGATAGGGGTGGTGATTGGGGGTGCTGTAAGCTTGGGACACATTTGGAAAATAAGATAGAAATCAAAGAAGTGATTTTATACTACATTATGGGAAATACTTGAGCAATTTTTTTTGCTATGAGGAAGGAGCCATAAGAAAGGGAAGGTGGATGGAAGTAGAAGCAACTTTCTGTGGAGAAGCCAGGGGTGCCAATTTGGAAATTTTAGGACAGAGATTGAAAGCAATAAGGCCATTCCCAGCCTGATTTCCAGATATTTGTTCAGTTCAGGATGGATTTAGTCACTAAACCTTTTAAGAATTTTTTTTTTTTACTCTCTCTGCAACGTGAGTGGTCTTGTCTCACAGTGGTTTCCATAAACAGCCCAGAGGACCAAAGACGGCTGTGGTGGAGGCTGGTCAGTCACGTTTCCTAAACTCGAGAAAGCATGGAGGTTCCTTTGCATTTTCAAATTTAACTCAGCGTAATCAGCGCGGTGGTCCCAGCACTTTGTGAGAGAGCAATTTGTTGTCAAGATTACATGGTATAATTCGGAAAGAGAAAAACCAGTTTTCCTGTGGTTTTCTTGGAGAAGAACTGTAAAGAAAAATGCCAATCTGTCCTAAAATATCTTTGAGACCAGAGGTTGAAAACTATCTTAAAGAGGGACTTATGAACAAGGGGATTGTATCTGCTTCAGGTAAACAAGAAGCAGAAAGGAAGTTTGAAGCTCTGTTAAATCTCCTGTCACACCCCTGTCATTCACGACTGTCAGAGTGAATACCATTTAGCCTCAGTACAACATGTGAAAAATTTGTTACTCGATGAACTTCAGAAGTGGTTCAATGGCATAAATATTCCTATTCTTCAACATCCAAACCTTCAAAATATCTTCCTTATTCCTGTTATTGGACCTACAAAGAATATTTAAAAAACAGCAGTATGAAGCCTTTGTTGGAACCCAGTGTGGCAATGCAGTAAGAGAAGCCTATGTATATATTCCAGGAATAGTGTCAGCTTCAAAATTTATGAATACTGGAGATTATTTCTGTATACTCTGATATTAATGGAAGATGTAAAAAGGGAGCCAAAGAATTTGATGGAACAAAATATTTCTTGGAAATGGGATTTCTGAAGTAAGCCATAAAGAAATCTTCAGTGGGCTGCCTGGACTGAAGTATGCCATCAGGAGCTATGGGAGAAATAAGCATTCTTTTTGTGGTTCAAAGAAAATAAAAAAAACAAAGTAAAAAAAAAAAAAGAAAAAGAAAAACCTCTATCTAGTTACATTATATAAATATAAAAATATAAGTATTATATATGATATAAATATATTTATTTGCATTTTTGGTATAAAAAAGGGAAAGGTGGGAACCAGCAGTTAGCGTAATGGCTATGTCGCTGGACTCCCACGTAGTCGACCGCGGTTTGCATCCCGGACCCGGTGGCTTAAAACTCACACCGGGCGCGTGTGCGTGTGTGCCCAAGATCCTGAGAGAAGAATGGAGGAGAAAGGATTGGGGCGTGCCCATCCTCCCTGGGGGGTGATTTCTCGCTTTCTGTCTCTATGTCTCTGTCTGTCTGTCTGGCGAGCGCACATGCCCTATAGCAAAAATCTTTCCCAAAAAAAGGGAAAGGTTAAATATACAGGAAAATTCAGTGACTGGCAGAGCAAGCGTACTCATTGGAGCAGCCGGGTCACATGTAATGTACAGAGGCAAGGAGGAGGCCCTTGAGGATGGGGTGGAGAGCACAGGCTGAGGGATTTCCTCCAAGGAGGGGGCTATGAAATAATATCTCATTGTGCTTTTACTTTGCCTCTTGCTAATTATTAATGATGCACATACGATGGGTATTGAAAAAGTTGATGGGAAATGAATCTTATGAAAAAATATAAATGGATTTAATTTTTCTGCACCAAGATAAACTCATACTTGAATCCCATTTTCCATGAACCTTTGACATCCTCTCATATTTTCATGTGTATGTTGGTCATTTGTAGTGTACATTCTGCCTCCTCCTTTTTTTCCTTTTTAAAATTTTTTTTTAATTTCCAGAAGGTGTGTTCACTCACCAAAGAGAGACAGGGAGGAAGAAAGCATCCCCAGGGCCTGTGGTCATGCCACAATCCCCACCCCTCCATCTGTTCAGGATTTTGCGCATGCACACGCACAAACTCGCATCTGGCACGTCCTTTGGGCCACCAGGGTTGATTCAAATCATGGTCAGCCACGTGAGAATCCAGCTCCCACAACAACTAGGCCATGGGTCCATCCCTGCCCATTTTCTTCCAGGCTGTCAGTTTCATAGGAATGGATTGTTCTTTCAGGTTTGAGTCATACGTTAAAAATGCATATATGGGGAACCAGCAGTTTGCATAATGGCTATGTCGCTGGACTCCCACATAGTGGACTGCGGTTCACATCCCGGACCCGGTGGCTTAAAATTCACGTCGGGCGTGTGTGTGTGCGTGCCCAAGATCCCAGGAGGAGAATGGAGGAGAAGGGATTGCGGCGTGATCATCCCCCCTGGGGGGTGATTTCTTGCTTTCTGTCTCTATGTCTCTCTCTGTCTGTGTGGCGGGCGCACGCGCCCTATAGCAAAAACCTCTCAAAAAAAAATGCATATATGTCTTCTTCCAGTTTATGACTTTTCACTCTCATTGTAATCTTGGTGAAAAGAGATTCTAAATCTAATATGGTCACACTTATCAACCTTTTCCTTTTTAATTTATGATTTTCTTTAGTTTATTAAAAATTCTTCCTATAGGAACCAACAAATAGCATAATAGTTATGTTGCTGGACTCCCACATGTTCATCTGTGGATCGAGTCCCAGACCCAGTGAGTTGAAACTCACACTAGGTACATGTATGCGTGCATGCCCAAAATTCCAAGAGGAGAAGGGACTGCGACGTGGCCATCCCCTGTGGGGGGTGGGGCTGATTTCTCACTTCCTGTCTCTCTGTCTTTGTCTCTCTGGTGAGCACACATGCCCTATAGCAAAAGTCTCTCAAAAAAACAAAAATTCTTCCTATACCAAAATCATAAGTATATTTTCCTATGCTGTGTAATAAAACTTTATGATTTGGGTTTTTAAGTATCTTATTTACCTGGAGCTGAATTTTTGGAAAGTACAGTTTGAGTATCTCTTATCTGAAAACCTAAAATGCTTCAAAACTTCATGAATACCAACGTGATGCCACACTTTCACACCTGACTTCATGAGACACGTCACAGTCAAAATGCTGCAATATAGGGCTGGCTCCGTGGTCTGTTGATTAAGGCAGCCAAATTCCACATGGCTCACGCAGTT